TTCAGCCAAGGAGTTCTTGGCCCACAAGGACATTGTTGTATACCATGGAACCTGTAGTATTCAACAAAAGCATCGGTGAAAAAGGCTTCGTCTCCTACGATGGCCTTTGGAACACAGTTGTTCTCATCAGACCATTGCCTCAATGCTTGGATGGTGGTTTGATCTATGAGGTCTTTCTGTGCCGTAGCCCAGAGAAGATTTGTGGCACCATCAAGAACAAGTAGAATGATATACTTGTTCTTGTGAAGTTCAACCTCACAATGATCAGCAAAAACAACATCACCAAAACATGAAGCTCTAATACCGGAGACTCTGGCTCGTGGCGGAGGTGCCACTGAAGTGTTACAAACACGGCAGTTCCTGACAACTGATTCATACTTCTCTAAAACAGAGTCAGGAAGCTTCAACATAGAAACACGTCTACGAAACTGAGTAGGACTCATATGGTAGTGCTTCACATGAAGCTTATAAAGCTCTACCTTGTCCTCCAGTCTCTGTAACATCTTCCTATATGCCGGTGTCATTGCAACAACTTCACTACCAGGTAATGGGATTGAAATCCGCCTAGGCTCAAGAGCGCCATCACCTGGTTCAAGTGGTTCATGTTTATCACTTGATGGTCCTTTTGATGCTTTAGGAATTTCTACAAGTTCACCTTCTGGCCTCTCAGGTGGTTCTGAGGGAGCATACTCCTCAAGATCATCACCCTTTAAATCATTCTGAGGCTCAGATGGTTTCGACTTGTGTCCTTTCCAAAATGGATCAAAACCCTTGGAAGTATACCGAAACTTTGGCGGCACGGGCTTTTCCGCGGCACTGGATGGTGCACCTTCCTTCTCTGACGAGAAGCCTGGTTCCCTGTCCTTTGCAATGGGAACCTTCTCTGAGGAGGAGCGCACCACTGCATCGGGATCACCAATGCCACGGTGCTCAATGCCAGCCTTCCTGATCTTTAGATCTGGAATTTTGGCATCTGGCTTAAATTTAAAAATTGTTCTACCACGCCATTCATAGCCAAGTTGTAGGTCCTTCCATTTTGCCTTGCGCCAATCATCTGTCTTCTTGATTTCTTCTCCTCCTGCTTTCTTCTTGATGATTGTCAGTCGCAAGTCTTCCAGCAAGTCAGTGTCTACAGGACAGGACTTAGTTGCTGGGAAAAGAATTTTCCTGTAATCCTTGTGGTGACGTATCAGTTCTCTCTTGTGAACATCTACTTCCCAGAAATCAACCACAGGATACGCATGCTCAGCTTCACCTTCATCACTATTGTGTTCAACAGAAATATGGCCATATTCATAGTGAGTGAGGTGAGAGTAAAAACTCTTCTCACGCTGAGTCTGCCAACGCACGTCAGACAGATACCATGCAATATCTTGGAAGTCCAACACAAGATGAGTACTGGCTGCAACCTTCAACTCCAAAAATTTGATACCAAGAGGCACCGATGTCAGATAAGCATGTTGAGGTGTCAGCCTGAGTTCAAAGCCTAAGTTCCTCATCTGTGGCAAGCTCATAAGCAAAGGGACTTCTCCTTCTTCCACTATGTCGAACTCTGTATGGTGGATCGTCCATGCACGATCATACATATAAATCACCAGTTTCTGAGAGCAAGTAGCCTTCTGGGAATTGGCAAAGTAAAACTTGCTCTTGGTAGACTCAAAAGAGTACCATAATCCACAATCTGGGTGATTGTCGACATAGTTGCAAAAATGGTCGACTGCTCGCCTTGATCCCATAGCTCTAGTGCATCCAATGTCCAGGATTGCAATAGTCGGCGGGAAGCGATTCTCAGTCAAAAATGAAATGGCCTGCATCTCCTTCACTTCTTCCTCAGCGCTCATAAGCGCAAAGCCATCAGGAGCCTTTGTGAGCATCTCCTTTGACAAAGAGTACCTCACAGGGGCACTCATGCCATCGAAGATCGTCTCACCATTGTTGACATTACAGTCAGCTTCATCTTGACATGAGGTCATCATGCCTGACAGCAAGTCCACCTCACTGTCATGGACTTCAGCTACCGTTGTCACACAATGCGCAAAGAAACCTTGTTGACCTCCTGATGCTTGTGAAGATCTTGAAGGTGCAGGCAAAGAACGTGGCTGTTGTTGATTTGCATAGTTTGCATCTTGTTTGCCATCTCCTTTATCTTTTCCTTTTCCTTTCTTGCCTTTTCTCTTGCCTTTTCCTTTTCCTTTGTGGGAAAACCATGCTTCTTCAAGCTGTTGCCAAAAGTCATTGGCATCATCATATTCTCCTTGAAGATAGTCATTCATATCTTCGGCAAGAATGGCATCATATGCTACTTGGTTTGACTCCCAAGTGTCCTCATAAGGATTCTCATCAAAGTACTCATCTGGAAAAGTTGTCTGTTGCTCATCAGCAAAATGGCCTTTACCTCGTCTCTTTCCTTTTCCTTTTCCACGAGGTCTGAAAAATCTGCGGCCTGATCTTCCTTTACCTTTTCCTTTTCTTCTTCCTTTTCCTTTGCCTTTTCTGGCTCTTCTTCCTTGGAATCTCCTTTGGAACCACGAGAAGTTTTGATCATCATATACCCAAAAGACATCGTCCAGGGCATCTAAAAATCCTTCTGTTCCATCTTCTTCATCTTCGGCCCAATAGCCAAATGTACCATCGAGTTCTCCTTCGTCTAGTACGAGAAATGATCTTCTACCTCCAGCACCTGTCGGCTGCATCAATGGATTGTCTACTGAAGTCTTTGTTGTGCAGAACATCTCGATGAACACTGTCCTCAACTCTGTTGTAGTATACTGCTGCAGGACCCTGCCACGATGAGTCATCAATGAAGTCAAAGTGTTTCGCTGGTCCTGAGACAAATCTGCAAGGGACAGCATGAGTAGGGCAATGAGATTCTCTCCTAAAGGAAAATCATTCTGATGAAGAATTCTCATATTGCCATTGACATTCTGCATGATTTCCTGAATCCTTTCTGCCGTTGGTGCTACTCCAGTCAACGCTGCATCTGCCTGCATCTGAGCAAGGACTTGGGGATGTGCTTGAGTGACTGGTTCTAACATGTCCATCCAACTGCTCATAAGCCTTTGGAGTAAAATCTGGAATCTTGTCATCCATTTCATCATGTCAGCTGATCCTCGATTGAATCGCACGAATTGCATAAACCTGTATAGGAATACATTGGTTGATCCTTTCACGAAATATGGTCGTAGTACTCGTTTGAAGTAATCTACTCCTGCTCCTGGTGGCTCATTAGCCTTCAATGAATCTCTGTCTAATACACGTTTGTATACTGCTGCTTCTCCTTCTAATCTGTTTCTCAAAGCTGGTCCTCTCTTCTCATCTTCCAGCTCGGTGATATCACACCAATCGTCTATGGCATCCTCATAGGAAAACCATGAAGTCTTTCCATCATAAGATGGGGGCACCTTTGTAGTGACCTGTGTTGTCATTGCTATTGCTGCTGGTTCTCTTCTCACATGCCTATTCACGTAGGCTGCTGGCTCATAAGCCACATCCGCATCAGGCTCTTCCCAGTCGTCAATCCAATCCATGGCCGTTTGCCCACAAGCAATTCTATGCCTAGGAAAGGAGCTCACCTGGGTCTTCCAGGATCACTGCTCCGCTACCACTGAAAGAGTGACTAGGGCGTACACGGTAGAGGTGCAGACCGCTAGTGTCTTTTATGCGCAGAGTCTTATCCTCTTGCTCTTTGAGCCTTGAAGCAGTCAAGCATGGACACACTATATCAGCTGTTGGAGTGGAACCCTGTACAGGTAGGCTCTACTTTTCAGGGGGGGGGGCTGTATTGAAAAAACAAATCGGGGGGGGGGGGGGGGGGGGGGGGGTCTGAATTGAGCGATCAATTATTAGACCCGGACATCCCAACACTTGCTTCGCAAGACAAACTCAAGGTATCCCCTAAAGGGCTACCTTTCGTGATTTGGTTCGACCGATATGTTTCATAGTTTTCTCTCTATATATATATAATATGCAATGGCCATTAATGGCCATTATTCGCAGAAAAAAGTATCTTTCCAGAATCTGTCTATGTCTACGTAACATGTATTTGAACGCTATAAACAACTCGTGACTGGCATCTTGCAGCATGGCCTACACAAAATGTTGAGAGTTGCTACAGCTACTCCAGGGTCACTTGCAGCATCTGTGCGACAAACCTTGAGGAATATCCTGGAGGAGGCTTGGAATTAAAGTCATGTAAAACTCAATCCAAGCCCCGTGCCAGCTACCAACACAGGGTAATGCAGCTCTCGGGGAAATGGGGAGGCTCAAGTTTGGAACCACGACTTTAACGGCACATTCACGGAAGTTTCGTGGAACTTTTGCGGATCCTTCGCGAAAATAAACTGGTGATTTCCCGAAAGTCATCGAACATGCATATCACATCATATCACAGACTAACATCTGCGCAATCGGATCGTTGCCCCACTGTCAGGGCTGCGCAAGGGCGATGCAGTTGCAGTTTGTGAGTCAGCCTGGGGAAGGACTATCCTGTGTCAGGGCTGCGCAAGGACAAGTTGAGTTCTTCGTTATATAAATTGCCTGTGACAGTGGGGACAGGAATCGGAGAATCCTTTACACTGTGAGGTATGCGCAAGAAAACGTTACATGGGGGACACGTCCGCCCACTGGCTCTGCCGGAGGTTTATACCCGTATGATTGTATGATCCTGTATGCCGGTAGAAAGGAACCATGAAGAAAATGAAGACCTTCGATAACGCTTTCGCGAACCTCATCGCGGATCTTTTGCGGATGGCTTGGACAGCATGTTTAAAAGGTCGTTTTATGCAACACCCCTTACACGTCCCTTTAGATCAACTCCCATTTCTTGAAGCAAGGGTTCTGCATTCCTCACCTCCCAAATTCGAAGTGCTCACCTTCTAGACTACGAAAGCCTTACAGGCTTGCCTCCCGGTCTACTGGTCAACAGAAAAAAAGAAGATGAAAATGCAAAGGCCAACTCTTGCAGTATCATTTCAAAACACAAGCCCGCCAGAGTGCAGGGCCGAATGTCTGGATCTACATCTTCCAGCTCATGTGCCTGCGCATCAGCCCCGGACAGCGATTCAAACAAGGTTGGAGCTCATTGAACTTGGCTTCCCAATCTTCCTTCTCTCCCCTTTAAACAGGCCTTACCTTCTTGTGTTGAATGAATATTGATGATGTTTTCTCTCCGTTCCTTTTTGCATTCCCAAAAGAGGCGGCCCACTGTTGCATCCTGCTGGGCTTTGCAAAGGCTAAATCGTCTACGTCATGCCCCGTGGCCTGAATCTTCCGGTGAAGATCCTCTAGCCGTTGTTCTCTGAGGAATTGATCAATCTCCTGCAAGTATTTATGCCCATTGACAAGAACTTGAGAGGAACTACACTAGGTCCGCATACGTGAATGTGTGATCCGTCTCTGAACCAAAAAAGACAGCAGTCTTTAAACCAGCCTTCTCAGAGAGACCCATGGGAAGATCAACATAGCTCAGTGGCTTGTACCTTGAGCTTCAGGATTGTCAAGAGCCAAAAATCTGTTCTTCAACCTTTTTTGGCATTCTTGTCCTGCCACCGAGGTTGGAGCGGCTTGTCATCTGGGAGGCCCCATCGCTTTCCTTTCTTTGCGACCTGATCAGGCTTGTCAGCAAACTGGCCCTGCACCAAGCGACTTGTTAAGTTCGAGGAACCACATGAATAGTGCGAGTGCTTCTTCAAGGAAGCTCCCCCGTCGCCTTTTGGGAGAGCTATCCTGCGTCCTACCTAGGAGTTTACTGAAGCTACTGGCTACCTTTTCTAGCATGGCGGCCTACCCCCCGGCTTCTGTTTGCATCTGCCAGCCTTGCACTCAGACCATCTGGATCTCCGTTTGGGGCCATCATCAAAGGCTGCGATCGTTTCCTGCGGCCAAGCAACGCCAAGAGCCCACTTGAGGAGTGAGAATGAGAAGGTTTGCCCATGTCACAATGTGTAGTTGTCATTGCATCTTATCAAACAGAATAGAAATTGCAACATGTCATGTGCCCCTCTACTCTCCCGCCTCATGCCGAACCCCAGCCAAAACAATGGCCGAGGTAAGGTCGGAGGCTACCTGAGCATGCTTGGATGCTGTTGGCGTCGCATGAACTTGCAATGCTGTCAGGATTCTCGGCCCAGTACCATGTCATCAGGAAGGGCTGTCATGCCGCGTATGTACACCCTCCCTCACCTGACCATGTCGGTCTGCAAGTCAACACGATTTTCCTCCGTTTAGTTTGCCTTTTCTCTCTGGTTTGGTTGATGTCTGCAGGCATTCCTGAGCTCTGAACCCAGCCCTGACACTGGAGAGGGATCTCCCAAATCCGGCAGCAGGCTGCCCACTCAGCCAAACAGCAACAGGTGTGTCAGGATCAAGCTGTTGGGACCAAACTGGCAATGGAAATGATTGGGCAAAATATGCTTTGACGGTTTTCCTCACTCACCGAACTTTAAACATCTGTGTACAAACACTCATCCAATTCGAAGCTCACAGCGACCAGCGTACTGAAACGTCAGACAGCTCACAGCGACACGATCTCAGAGACCCTTTTTTCCGAGGCAGGAGTCCACATGAGGCCCAAAGGCAACACCCCATCTTGAAAAGGATCCATCAGGACAGCGTCTGCCTTTCATCATGAGCATTCATACGCAGCCATTGGTTTTCTCCGCCTCATGCACATGTTGTGTCAGTTGAAGAGGCACAAAATTGCACAAAGTTTTTGTTGACATGTTTGATTTGGAATGATTTGGAATACTTTTCGTGGGAAACGACTCTGGGAAAAACTTTCATCTCTGTCTCTACCATCTGACTCATCTGACCTTCTTGCACATACGACGCAGAAAGCATGTGAATATCCGGTGCAAAGAAAGCATGGCTTCTGCTGAGCATGCCAAGTGATTGAACACGAAACTGAAGCAAAGTTTGGTGGCACAAGGCAATCCAAGCCATCTCCGAAAGGAACGACAGGCTAATGTAACGACAGAGCTCATGGAAACAATGGAAAACAAATCGTCGCCTGGTGACCAGCGTCTCTGCCTCCTTTAAGGCACAAAGCCAGTTGCACAAAGAGCGCCCAACAGCACCCCACAAGCACCACGGCTCAAATGGATCCAAATGTCTAGGCATAAAGGCAAAAACAATGCGCAATAGACCCTGCACGGTCAGAATCGCCCACAAAGGCGTGGAACTCGTTCCGGAAGCTGTGGACGAAAAAAGAAAGGTTGTGTCCGATGGCCTCTGTGTCTGTCCCCTCCTCTGTGGTAGAAGGAGAGGCGAATGGCCCAGTTAAAGAGCTCAGAGACTTGCCATGTCTGGCCGTCCACGTAAGGCCAGCAACTGCTGTCGAAGAACACACTCCGTGCTCCCAAAAGAGCCGTGCCCTGCTGCAAGGCGTCATAGAAATCACACGCTCACCGGCACTGTCATACGCGAAAAATGCCACATGCCCTGGTCCGATGTAACGACTACCGATCGCAGACGTGTCGCCGACACGTTCAAGGCAGATCGCAGGAAGTAGGAGCCTCCCGGGTTTTGTGTAGTGCTGGTCCACGCCGTTCTTGTCCAGGTCCGAATGGGTTGGTCGATCGGCCCATGACGGTTTCGGTCGAGAGGCCATTGCACTTGCCCCAAGTCCACAAATAGTACTGGGTCCCACCACATTCTGGAGGACGGCCGGTGCCTCACCGGTGCGAGCATCTGGGAATTCTTCGCCATTGGGGTCTGAGTAGCATGTGGCCACAATCTTGTACAGTAGGCTTCTGCAACCGCGGACCCTGAGGTGACCGATGTCTTCCCGATGGTGTCGGGAGATATGAAACCATCGTCGCCAAGTAGCACGACCTGGGCACCGCCAGGCATGGAACCCCACACCAGGTAAAGCTTGCCAAAGCCATCGAAGACATCCGGGTCGATTCGCAAGGCCTGAGTCGTCGCAGCAGCCCACTCTTGCTCTGTTGGGTAAATTGTGGTGGTTGGCATGCCGTCGCCATCCAAGATGAGATTGCTGCAGGTCACCGGCTAGTCGTCAGACACACATGTCTCATCCTTGTTCCCATCTCCCACCGCCCGACCGATGCATGCGACACCCATTTCTGCTCCACTACCTGACATGAGACTTGGGTGGGGCACATGGGAGCAATGGCCTCCAACCTGAGAGTGATGGCCTCCACCGGCCTCCAACCTAATAGCGATGTATGATATGATGTATATAGAACAAGTGCACAACACCTCTCGTGCGATATGACTACTGCTCTTTCGCCTTGCAGGATGGAGAAATACATTGCGCAGTGGTACTTCTTTGCATTCTTCGTGGAGGTGAAGGTCGGAGTGTTCCTCTTAGGTGTAAAGCATGCAAGAAATGCAGGGGCTCAAAGCACTGGCTACAAGTATACTTTGAATTTGACGATTCCGGCTCTTCAAGAAAAGCGATACAAAACCAATCCACGGTATTCCACGGTTGTGTTTGGCTGCTTCTCCCAACCGGGTCCTGCACTTCAGCCCTGGGGCATCGAATGAACTTGTGGCATGTGCACCATTCTGCCAGTCACACCGCGCGAAGCGCGGCCAGTTGGTGTTGTTGTCCTCAGATGCCGACCCCCTAAGAGCTCGCTTTACGTAACCGGAGGCCATCGCTTCGAGGGTGGAGGCCGTCGCTACTAGTTACTAGTAACAAGAAGCAACCAGGGTGGAGGCCATCGCTATTAGGGTGGAAGCATGTCGTCGAACAAAGGTTTGCCGAGTTTCCACAGGACCGTCCAGCCCGAAGACCGACTAGGTCCTTGCACCAAATTTGTTCTCTGTGGACGGGTCCGCGAAGAAGTTTGCGATGCCCAGCGCCTGCTTAAACTCCTCGGCTGCAGGATGTGTGACTTTTTAAAAAATCCTAAAATATAGGTTCAATTAAAAGAGCATATAGGGGCGAACTCTAAAGTGGGTGAGGCATTCATATCGAAACGGTATAGCAGGAAAACCTGAGAAGGGCGGGAACGAAAGCCAGCAGCCACCAGACGAGAGGGTCAAAAGAAGAAACCATCTACGTAACACATGCTTACTAGGACGATGGCAGGCACTGTATGCTTCAACATGAGTGTCACCAAGCGTCATCCAAAAAATTGCATAGATCCGTGGCTATAACAAGTCCTTAAACAACACCAATCTCTTCACCCCACGAAGTTGCTATCTACACCGGCCCCTTTTGGGTGAGTGTCGGATCGGTCACCAGGATCGGTGACCAATGTGGTCGGATCGGTCGCCCCGGATCGGTGACCACAAAACACGGATCGGTGACCGGACCTGACGGATCGTTCGCTCGGTCGCCAGGATCGGTCACCGGAGGTATAGCGAAAACAAGTGAAACAAAGAAAGCCGACCATACCGGATCGGTCGCCAGGATCAATCACAAGAGAGGCCTAGGGAAGGAAGGCAACGGAAAACAAACCAAAACCAACCATATCGGATCGGTCGCCAGGATCGGTCACCGGAGAGGTCTAGGGAAGGTCAGGAAAACAAACCAAGCCAACCAGACCGGATCGGTCACCAGGATCGGTCACCGGCAAAGAAAAGATACCAAACCAATCATACCGGATCGGTCGCCAGGATGGGTCACCAGAGAGGTCTAGGGAAGGCAGGGAAAACAAACCACCATACCGGATCGGTCGCCAGGATCGGTGACCAGAGAGGTCTAGGGAAGGCAAGGAAAACAAACCAAACCAACCATACCGGATCGGTCGCCAGGATCCGTCACCAGATAGGTCTAGGGAAGGCAAGGAAAACGAACCAAGCCAAACACAGCGCATCGGTCACAGAGAGGTGTAGGAGAGGTGTAGCTACGGAAAAGAAAAAGAAACAAAACAACTGTGCCGGATCATACGGTGAGTCCAGACTTTTTCCTCAAATTTCTTAAACTCAAGAAACGGGTTATTAAAAACGGGTTATTGAAAAGCCGCTTCGCCGCACAAAACGCAAACGGCGGAATGCCTGGAACTCGCAATTGGTAAGTTGCGTATTTATGTACCTGCCACGTCCAAAGTGTGCAGAATTTCTGCTCTTTCAAGAATTATAGCTCTTTGGAGGAGTCGGCAATAATAATGGCTCTCGAACGTTTTTCACACTCTGGTGCTTTTTGCGAACTGAGTTTGCAAGGCTTTCTTGACTCCTCTTGTGTCCTTGACAGTGAGGGATGTCATCAAACCACTACTTCCAATGGCACAAGGCCCACAAGTTCAGTGGTCACATCCAGCTAGAACATCCGCAGTGCCCAGTGCACATCACTCTTTTTCCATCCTCTTGTAGCTGTCCGGCTGATCCTTGGATGGAGTGGCCGAGGTCTGACTGGCATGATTGCTGCTGGGGGGAGCAGCAGAAGCCCAATCGGTGATTTTGCACGCTCACTCCATAAAACGCCACTTCAAGCTACAAAAGGCGCTGTTAGGACTATAGGAAAGTGTTCCCATGGCGGCTGGTGTTGAGTCGCCCCTTGTAATTGCTTGGGAAGGAGATCCAAGTATCCGAGCGATTGCTCGCCTTCACTCCCAGTTTAGCTGGCCCAATAGATTTATTAATACTAGGTGTTTAGGCGCCTAAGTTTGTGCCCAAGGTTTTTCCATCTACTCACCGTGTGTAGGTTACAAGTTTGCGCCGGCTATTTGGATGGTGCAAATGAGCCAGCCATTGATGATGGCACCGATGCTGCTCTGGTCAGCAGTGGTGGTGACCTTTCTTGCTGTGACTCGCTGCCGGCTATCCTGGGCCCTGGGCCACCCAACCCCCTCCTCAATCCAAGGCGCCAAAGTTTGAGGATCTCAATCTATCATTGACAGGGCCTGTGTCAAGCATGTCGCCGGAGGATCGGAGGCGGATGCTTCAGCAAGAGCAAGTGACTGCCAAAGCAAATACTATAGAGCGGGGAAACTCAAAATGTTTGCATGGTTTTGAAGGATTGGTTTAGTTCCATAAAGGACCTGTCTTACTGAAAACCACCTCCACCCAAGACCCAAAAAAGAACACAAACCCTGAAGGTTCGTCGTCGAGCAGCGACAACTTGCCCGTGCGCAATCAATTGACTTGGCTGTGAACTCAGTTGACTTCTTTTGATTGAAGGACAATGTTTTGAACAGCTGGAACCCTTGCCCCTTCAGGTTCTCGGACTTCCAACCCTGAGATGAGCCCTACTACTGATGGCATCCCCGACACTACTGACCAGTCCAAGCCCAGGCCTTTTGGTGGGGAGCTTCGGCTCTCAGAAGCCGCCATCGACCAGCGAAATGGTCGTCGTAGTAGTCCCACAAACCCCAACCCCAAAACCTAACCCTAAAAACCTAACCTTACAGCCTAGTAGTAGTAATAGTAATGGCAGTAACAGTATAACAGTGACACGAGTAATATTAGAAATTGTACTCGTAGTAGTCGTAAAAACCCTTGCCCTAAAACCTAGCCCTAAAAAACTTAACCTTACAACCTAGTAGTAGTAGTAGTAGTAGTAGTTGTAGTGGTGGTAGTAGTAGTAGCAGCAGTGGTAGTATCGTAGTAGTAATAGTAATGGAAGTAAAAGTATAATAGTGATACTAGTAATCATAGAAATAAAATAGCCGTAGTAGTCGTAACCATAACCCTAAAACCTAACCCTTAAAACGTATAATAGTAGTAGTGGTAGTAGTAGTAGCAGCAGCAGTAGTAGTAGTAGGAGTAGTAGTAGTAGTAGTACCACTAGTACCACTAGTACCACTAGTACCACTAGTAGTAGAAGTAGAAGTCGTGTGGAAGGAAAAGTAGTAATAGTAGTGATAAAGTTCAGAAGTCCATACTAATAGTTGTATTTGTAGCCGTAGAAACCCTAAACCGAAAAACCTAAGCCTAAAACCTGAACACCTGACTTGAACCCTAACCTAAAACGCCAAGCCAGTACTAGTGGTGATGGTGGTGCCTGGCGGTTGTTTTCGTTGCTTTTGTGGTGTGTTGACACCTGTGTGGGTGTTTCAACCTACCACCCCATATCTGATTCATCTCAGGACCCCCAACCTGGAACCCACAGCGGACAGGGCCAGCGCGTGGGCTTCACCGGCCGCCGCTCGAGAGGCCGCGCCCCCCCGTTCGGCCAAGTCCTGTGCTACTGGGCGATCGGATCCCGGACCGGTGGTCAGTGAGCTGATATGGTGCCCTCCTGCCCTGTAATCTGTTGAGGCAGCAAAACGAAATTGAAAGTGTTTGCAGAAGGGTGATTTGGAGATCTTCATGGAAGATGGCTCCCAATGGTGTGCTTTGCTTGCTGGGGCTTCAATCTACCACGGTGCATGAGATTGCTTCTTCTCTAACTAATCTTGAGAAGTGGGAGCACCATGATCTCTTAAATTCCCAACTCATTCCTCATGCCACCCAACCAGATCCCAGTCCTGGACTATACTTGGCTGGCTGATGCGCCTGCACCAGGAGGATGGTAGCCTTGGAGCCGGCTCGCGTTAAAAGTATTTTGTACTTGGTGCCCACCATATCTGGAGGGTATATAGAATTGCATCCTCAAGAAATAACTCTCACATTCTTAGTCAACAGGATGCATTTACGATACCTACCTCCGAGTCAAGGGGGCACAGGTCAATCTGACTTCCTCCAAAAACATCTCGAGCTCTGCACCGTCCGCCGTCCACAACGCAGGCGCCGCAGCAGGGAGACAGGCAGTCCTAACGATGCTGAAGCTAGGTTTTGACGTCTACAGGTCTGCCCAGTTCATTCCCCTGACAAACGTGTCCAGCAGGTGTGGAGCAAGAAGCTGACGTGTTCCTCCAGAGACCGGCCGTGAAGTATGAGTGTGTGCATGCAATCTGGACCTAGAACAAAGGGCAAGAAGCTACTAGTAACAGAGGGCATCGCTACTGGGAACAAAGGACGCTACTACGTAGTAACTCTTGGCCATCTCCAACCTAATGGCAATGGCCTCCTGGATGGAGACTACGATGCAGCGGTGAAATGCTGCAGCTCACTGGAGGCGCAGGACATCTCGGGGCACACTGGAGACATTCTGTGCGATTGGGAGGTGTAAGTCTAGGAGGATGCGAGTGCTGTGCACGTGCATCATGGGACATTCCTATCAAGGACCTAATTCTCTGAGGAGGGTCATTGTTTTTTCTTTTTGGCTGGTGTTTTGGCCCTTGAATGTACTGGAGATCTTCTCTCAGTGTCTCAACAAGTGAGTAAAATCTTTGATTTTGTGCAGCCACAAGGGTGTCTCCACGGGAGGCACGCGCGTTGTGTTTGATGCATGTGGCTGGTGCCACGGGGCAGTCCAGCAGGCCAGCAGGCGCAGTCTTTTTAGATCAATTGCGCACGGATCTGTAGAACAAAAAGACGCTCCCTGAGTCCAGCTTTTTTGTCTAAAATATCCTGAACTCAAGAAATGCGTGTTTGATACCCACATAGTTCTTGGTAGGGGAGGAGCAGTCCAAATGTTTTTCTTTGACCGGGAGCGGGTGATCCTCACTTTACCTCCTCTAGGCCATCGCGGTTTTGTTGATATTTTTGAGGCGTGGGTGGTTTGTCGTCTTGGATCCTTTGGCATCAACATCAGTGACATCGTTTGGGATACTTTGTGCCTCGAGAAGATGCAAAGTTTGCACAAAGGACTATTTTTGGGAGGGTGTGTGCAAGCCGCGTTGTTGATATTTACACCAGCTTTGATCCCGTTTTGCTATGACAGCGCCGAAAACAGAGAGAATCCTGCGCGTAACAGAAAGGCATTGGAAACAGAGCCCTAACAACTGGCTATTTGGAAAGCAAAGCTGCTGCACTCAAGTCCGCTCAGACAAAATCCAAACAGTCCCAAATCCACGTGCGCCAGTCAAGCACAACAGACTAGACTGGGGATGTGCTGTGGATCTGTATTATCAAAACAGCGATTTCTGGTCGTTCAGGCAATCGGTCGCAAAAGAAACCAAACCAACCACACAGGATGGGTCGTCAGAATCGGTCGCCAGAGAGGTCTAACGAAGGAAACGAAAACAAAGCAGGAAAACAAACCAAACCAATCACCCCGGATCGATCGCCAGGATCGGTCACTAGTGATCCTATTTCGCCTCCTACCCCCCCCCCCACACCCCCTTAACTCACTTCGTTCGGTCTAAAAGCTCAAGCCTAGCCTATGCTTTCGTAATTATGGAGAACTAAAACCTCTATATATATAGGAAAATGTTCCCCAAGCATTACAGTAAGTAAGCATGTTAATTTTGCGAAAGGACCTCTGCTACACAAAGCCGCCATGCATTGCACTGTCTACGCACCCGTTTGCAGGTCTTATAGCAGTTTAAATGGGGCTGTCAAAGCAAGGGTCACGAGAGAAAGAGGTCCCGAGGAATGTTTCACGAGAAAGCAGTTTCACACTCAGCTTCACAAGGAACGTCTCAAAACAAAGGTCTTACAAGAAGAAAAAGCCTCAAGAAGGAAGGTCTCACAAGAAAGGTCTCACAAGAGCAAGGCATCCAATGGCCTTCCCCCTGATGAACCTTGACCGTCCGGCTCAGCGCACACAAAAGTGCCCAAAATTTCAATCCGCCGAGGCTCCCAGTCATCAGATGGCCACGCACAGGGTGCCATGCCCTTGCCACGAGGAAGAACACGTGGCCGTCCTGACCTCCAAGAACTCTTTAATCTCTGGATCCGTGGAGCCCTGGTTCACAGCTTGGCCAAGCACTTGGTATCGAGCTGATCAAAGGCACAGGATCTGGGCCTTGTGGCTCCATGTATGTCGGTGTGCTCACTGCGCAGGTGGGGTTGGCATTGGGCTCCACGTTGCCGTCGTCCCGGAAAACACTTTGATCCCCAAGCCAAGAGCTGAAGGCATCGCGCAGGCTGGTATGCCTTGCCCGTCTGCTAGGTCCACGAAGAAGCCACAGTAGTTCATGCCAACCACATTCACAGTGGGGAAGCGAGCACGGATGAAGTCCAAGTGCAACATAGCAGTGAGACCTCCAGCAGATTCCCCTGTGACAATGAAGTCTGTAGCTCCTGTCAGCCCAGCCGATGCCAAACTGTCCAAAGATGTGTGCGCCGCGGAAGTAGACCTGGCTGCCATCGCCAACTTCAACAGGGCCGTCCACATTGCCACCTCGGCTGCTGCCATCGCAATAGAGCGCCCAAACCTTATTCCAGTTGTGCATGTCCGGGTTGATGTCAGCCTAGGGCAAAGTCCTTCAAAAAATGTTCCTTTTGAGCTGCCCACATAGTACTGCTGCCCGATAAAGTCTCTGAGCGTGCGAGGCACCCTTCGAGACTAGTGCACCAAACTCCTCCTTGAAAGTGTATGATCCATTTCTGGGCACCTGTGCCGGAACCGGGCTCGATGAAGTATCCTCCTGGTGAACCGTCCAAGCAAAGTGCTGAGGCATCCTGGAGCAGCACCAATGACCACGAGTCAAAGGCAGCTCTCGCAAAGGGCCACCCATGGGGCGATTTCAAACGACATGGTCTTTCCAAGATGTTCCAAGGAAGAAGATTGATGAAGATTGTGCTTTGGCCTCTTCAACCAAAAAAGTCTGGACAACGCCCCAGTGCCGGACCGAAGTCCTATAACCGCACAGGTGACGAAAGTGTGGCTGCCGAGTCCATGAATGTCCGTGAGTCTTGACATGTTTTGACAATAAGCCAGTGACAGTGAGCTCGTTTTGGCACACCTTTTCTCCAAGTTGAAAGCCTGAACAAGCCTGTCTCACCATGAGCGATCAGAATCAGCCATTGGTTTTCTCCGCCTCATGCACCTGTCGTGTCAGTTGAAGAGGCGCAAAATGGCACAAAGCCTTTTTGAGATGTTTGATCTGGAATGGTTTGGAAGGCTTTTTCGTGGCAAACGACTCTGGGAAAGAGTCGTCTGTACCTAGCTACGTAACCCGAGAGGCTGGGCCTCGTCAGCTGGTGCCGGTTCCGGAGCTGGTGGTGCCTGGATGCAGCAAACTTCGCTGCAAGCCGTTGCACTAAGCAATTCATGGCTTTGAGCAATGCCTAATGCTTCAGAATGCTTCAATGCTTAACATATCTTTGCAGTGATAACATTGCGAAACACAGGATAAGATCGGCATCATCGAGAACCATGCCAACCCGATTCGTGAATATTTCCGGTTGGTGATTGCTGATGCGGATTCGACACTTGTGGGGCATTCTGGGTGCATTTGGTATTGGCATGTATATATTTGATTGTATTTGCCTATCTTGCTTCTTTCGAAATGAACAGTATTGCCGTTGCCCTTTTGCGTGTAACGCGGGGCTCACATCAGCTCACGCCAGCAGCACCCTTTCTTCCGCAGTTTTACCATGTGAGCAGCTTGCCTGTCACATCCTGTCACTTGGATTCCCAATTGACCCAGTCTCCTTTTGCTCTTTTCTCGAGGTCAGAGTGCTCCTACCACAGCTCCGCCAATCTCCACTTGGGGTAGTTAGGTTGCGTGATGTGTTTGTGGGCCAAGTAAATTTCAAAATTTGTTGAGAAATTGGGCACCCAAAGCGCTTCGGCGCAACGGTGCCGAGCAGAGACATCAAAACAAATCTTGCGGACGAGACGAGATATGTTCAGAGCTGAGTCTGTCTGTAGGGCGCTTTCACAAACCAGCAAGTCTGTTCACCTTGCACCACCAGTGTAAGAAATCACTCTCGACTCTCGAGCATTCTTGTTCATGCAAGAGATGCAAGGCCTGTGATGCTATATGCATTAACAAAGGCGGCGACACACTGATGACTGTTGGTTGCTGTGTTGGCCGGAACAACCACACTAGTGCTGCTCGAGGGATCAAAGCCCTTTCACTTTCACGATGTTTCATTATATGTCCTTTTAAGCGATGCTTGTCAAAACCCTCAAAGAATCCGTTGCAGAACCCGCTAGATTAGATGTAGTGTAGTGTTATGTATGCTTTAATCTACCGCTTCAATTCCAATTGTTATAAGGCACTCAAAGGCTTTTTGGGGAGGCTCTTAAGCTAGTTTCTGTGATTATGCTTCCTTTTGTGTTCGGTTTCTTGATGGATGTATGAAAGGAGAAAGGGATCATTGAGGATCTACTTGATCAATTCAGAAATACTTAAGGCGGCTCATGAATACAGTGCATGTACGGATGTTTTGCCGGATGCTCATATAAGTATTTTTCAGGGAAGGGAGTGGAATCCATCAGGCTTCACACGTGGTCCGCTCCTTTCTTGTGCTCTGCCTTTGTTGGTGTTTGTCAAGGTGCTTCGTTCGGTAGACCGATTCCACCTCATGGTCTTGTCCGTCCAATATGCAAGTGTCATGTGCATGTTTCTGATCAGAGTTCTACTTCGTAGGTTCTCTCAGTTATTCCTTGTGCAGAACTGTCAGTCATATTCATAAATCCTGCCCAGGTGAAGTCATGGCCTTGGCTTCGAAGGAGGCAAGGTTTGCATCCGACGGAAAAGCAAGGTCGACAGGGACAGCATCCTGCGGCATTCGCAAGAAGAATGGTGCATTTTCTCAAAGTAGAATTAGAAGAAAAAAGCTTGCCCCTCTTCTTACACAGGGAGGCCTTCGTCAAATACATACGAGCCTGGCAGGGCTTGAGGCTCTTTGTTGCTTTCGTTTTTTCATATTTATCAGTCAAGCAAAGGCGCGCGCAGACAACCACACACAAACAAATGAACGAACGAACAAACAAACAAAGTCAAACCAACACACGCCCTCGCGCGTGCGGCCCTCTGAGATTGCGTTTCTTAGTCTCTCGCTGAAACAACGAGGCAAATGAGCACTAAGAAGAGCAACACAGACCTTGACTGACAACCATCTTTGAAGCTCAGCACGGTCCCTAGGCATCCCAAATGTCGTGATTCTAAGTGCTCCACGCAACGGCCAGCACTGGCATAGCAAGGTCACAAATTCCTAAGAGTCGTGCTGCACGCGCTAAGGACCCTTTCAAAGCAGCTTCAGTCACTGGCAGAGGTGAGAGGGTTGACCTTGTAGCCTTGGTTTCTAAGCTAGAGGCCTACGTTGATCTTCGACTTCGCCTGGACGGTTCCACTTTCAGTCCCCAAAGAATTTGAACCAAAAAACAGAATGATTCTGTATTTCATCACAACAACAAATGCAGCACCTTTGATGAGGATTGATCCTAGGATGCAACACTTTCTCAAGCTGTGTCTGAATTTTAGCATCTTTGGCATTTACGGTACTTCATGACAAGGTACTCCACGGACCATGACAAACTTTGGATAGCACCTTGGTTTGTGTGGCTTTATATAGTGCATTCCTGCGATTGTGCATGGAAATAGATCAAAAACATTCACCTTGAGCACATTTGAGCACGCCACTGCTCAAACCAAGCACAAACACAGCCAGCCTAAGCTCTTCGATTGACCAAGCTACTAGGAACAAGTGCATCGCTTCTAGTAACAAGTGCCTTACTAGTAGTAACAAGAAGCTATTAGAAACAAGAAGCTACTAGGAACAAGGCTCTCACTTCCAGGACTCTCAACGACTCCAAGGCAGGTGCGTGACATCCCATCCGCTCCCGTTCTTCGTAGATGCAACCATTTTCACTACCACGCCTCCAACAACGACAACACGGAACATCGTGAAGAAAACACCTTTCATGCCAAGGTTGATGCATCTTTGCAATGTCGTGGGCTGTCAAGAGCTGGCTCCCTGGCCCAATACCATCTTCAACATTTTGCCGGTGACCTATCCCGATCCCTAAAGACCCATTCTACAGTCCATCTGTGGCCTGCGACGAGGGCGCTGTCCACAAGTCTGCCTGAGTTGATGAATCAACGATGAGAACTTGCACGTTCCACTGCCAAGCTGCACAAAGAGGATCAAAAAGAAAGAGGAATGAAAGAGGGCTCAATCACTAAGTCACTAAGTGTGCGGGCCTTGATTCTTCTTTTGCTCTGCCTGCGGTGAAAAGGAACTTCAGCGCTGCCATAGCTCTGAGCCCAACACCTCCAAGGTCGCATGATCATGGCCGGTCACCTGAGTGAGGATCGTATGCCAGCGTATAAATGGATTGGAAAATGCCTCACCGGCTACGCAAGCTCTGAGGCTTCTCTGAATTAAGCTTTCCGGCTCTGCTTGATCGTACATGTGGCAAGAGCCTGAGCAAACACAACAGAATTGCATCCTATTGCTTCCCGAAAGGTGGCTGCAGGCCGGTTCGCAACATCTCGTGTCATTTCGTGCTGTGTCCAAGGGTTCGACAAAAAGACTAGGCAGAAGTGGCAGAGGATACCGCATTTCAGATTCATGACGACACGTCCAGGTGCTTTGCTTTGCTTTGTGTAAATTCTGTAAGAAATGACCGTAAATGGTTTAACAGCACCGCTTTGTCAAGAGAATTTGTGAAGCAAACCGGTGAATCAACTTTTCCAAATGGCAGGTCTTGCGGACTGGCAGGCGTGTGTTTTCTTCAATCACGCAAGAAGTGAGTTTGGCAGGCGTATTGCTGCTCTGAGCCAAAGGATCGTGCACCACAAACACGCGCAAAGGGTTTTCGCCGGTTCCAGCGAAACGAGCTTGTGCGGCAACGAAACGATAAAAGCCACAGTTGCTACAGGGAAGCGATCAGGGGAATTGACCAAGAAAGCCTGGGCCTTCTATCTGAATCTGCAGGCGGCTCCAGAAACACTGCCCTCAAAGATTCTTATGCTGGGTGGGGACGTGCTGTGGGATCCGTAGGTCTGGCTTGGCTGCCGCTGGCAGAGCCCCAAACACTGTACGCCACACTCAGCAATGAAAAACGATCAAAAAGGACTGCGCCCAACAAAACTTGTAAACGCGTGAGTGGTTCGTGGGCATACCAAAGTCTCTACAATGCCTCACCGCCCTAAGGATCCAAATGTGAAAGAATGGAGACATTACACAAAGGTATGCTGAGCCGCAGGACAAAGAATCAGGCTTGCATGAGAGCATCTCTTTTCCATCGCATTTGCGAGCATGTCAGTGCGTTCTTGACTCGCGTTGCAAAACAAATTGGCTCCGCGGGCTTAATTGTTGGTGGTACACCTTAAGTGCATTCACCACACAGGAAGCCGGAGGAATAGCAATTTCTAAACAGGCAACGATCTCCAAAGGAGAGCACGCCGTTTCTAAAAGGCTAGAAAAGTAGCATATTTTGCATTGGCTACTGCCTACTATCTCATAATTGCAGAGCTCGTTTCTGGCCGCTGCGCCTGCGAGGGGATAGCTCAGTTATGTCAAGAAAATGGGTAATTAACGTTCTCAAGCATGCCAAGCAAGATCAAATGCATCTGTGTGATGAATTGGCAATGAGATGATTTTGCTGGCACTGGCTTCTGCACTGCCACTGTTTGAGGTTCACTGCAGCAAATCCGCTAAGTCACGCTTTTGAGGTTCTTCACCACCTCATTGCGAAAAAGTCACCTGGTCACCCTCTGTGGGCTCTGGGGACTGGACTCGCACTTTTGACTGTGACGACCTGACCATCCCAGCGGTCCCCAGCGCTCAGTGCGACGACAAAAGCACGATTGCGCCTTCAACTGCTTGACTATCCGTGCCACCTGAAGTCTCTGAAGACGAGCTGAATTCAATGGTTTTGAAGTGTCTGAAGCTGAAACAGTTGTAGATAGCGCGTACTTCAATGAATCGAGCCATTGCGTCGACGCCTCCACTTGCAGGAACGTGAAGATCTGCTCTTTCTGAAGTCCTGCGAGCGCTTCTGCATCGTTGCTCTTCATGGCTTCAACAAGATCTGTGCCAACCTCACACGAGCGACAAATGACTTCAATGATTCAAACCTGATAGTCTCAAAAGCTCACTACACACGTGACACAGCTGTCTCGAGTTCCAGGCCTGGTACTCTCTGGACAAAAACCAACCTTGGCCGAAGTGGTGTTCGGATGCTTGACTCACTGTCTGAACTCTCCATGGCATCGTGGATCCACTTTTGCAAAGGTACAGGATGCACATGAATCCACGTTTACGCTCGCAAAAAGAGTATGCGCACTTTGGCCAGCAAGCGCTGCAGCTTTGGAGGGGAACCAGGGCAGGAAAGTCCTGGTAGGGGGCTTAAGTAGATTCCTTGAGCTGCCTCTCGAGGTGGGTGTGATAAGACTTTTGGTTCGCCCAGAGTGACGGTAAAGAGCTGAGAACATCAAGATACACTGCAAAATTCCTCCGCATTCCATCAAGAGGTCTTGCGCTTTGGGCAAGACAAAGCATCAATTCCCATGCTGGAAGCTTTTCCAAAAAGCTGGCGCCACCATCCATAAATCCAACCAAGGCCAGAAACAACTCGCATGGTCCCATGAATAGACCAGTGGTCCTCATGGCTAAGAATCAGTCCATCTCGCGTCATCAGCTTCGTAAACTGCTCCAGCCGTATCACACAGGCTCTAGGCAAAGCTCGAGGAAAATACGACACAGTCGCATGAATCACGATTCCCTCGCCGACGAGGCCCACTCCGTGTACCTTGAAGTCAATCTCGCTAAATAGCATCCGCAGAGATCGAAACTGCGCCTTGGTGTTCACCTGGCCAAAGACCTCAACCAATGGATCACTGAAAGAACAATCTTCCACATATTTATCTGACACCAAGTCGTCCGAATCGCTTGATGTAGAATAAATTGAACAAACCGCTTTCACAAGCTCAAATTGTCCATCGCTGATGCAAGACGGCTTCAACATCTTCCAGGGCGCTTGGACCGACATCACTGCTTCTGTAGAAGGAAACAAACACATTGGAAGAATGACAAGCTTTGATTACCAACAACTGACAGTTTCACAATGTTTCACCACCATCCACTCAAAAAAATAACCAACAACATTTGCCCCGACGGCCCCGGCCTTCAATGTTTGAAGAGCTTATCAGTTCTTCAGCTCTGACAGAATCCTGACATGTTGATTCCGCTCATGGAGCCATTGAATGCCATTAAGCAATGAAGATTCTGCACCACATTGTTGTGTTAAGGCCTCCAACTTCATCAGCAGGACGATCTTTGAGAGCAGCTCCTTCTTCCGCGGCTGTTTTTGGCGAGCATTGAAGTCTCTGGACTTGAGAAAGAGTACAAAAACCACCAAACACTTCCCGTCTTTGCCTCGTCTTTTTGAATCAACGTGAGCACAAGCCTTGTGCACAAAAGGCTGGCTCTTTTGCCTTTGCAGTACCTCAAGTCCGACAATGCATGAGATACAAACAAATCATAGTCCGGTCCGATCAGTGGCAGAAGGAAGACAGAAGACAAACTCAAGGCACCCATCGCTAGGAGGGTGGAAGCCATTCCTATTAGGTTGGAGGCCATCGCTACTAGGGTGGAGGCCGCAATGTGACCATCCATGGCTTTGAGGGCATCCTGCGAACAGAAAAGCCGACACACGACATCTGCTAAGGATGTGCTTTGTCCTCGAAAGCTTCTCGTCGAATTAAAAAACCAATGTACCTGGAAGTGCTTTCAACTTGCTTATTCATGCTTTCAACATTTTTTAACTTGCAATTTGCACTATTTTGCACTTGGATTTGGATCGCTGTCGGGTTCGACTTGGGAGCACGTCTTGTAGACGTCACCCAGCTCATAGTCCTGCGAAAAGGATTAACAACCTCTATATATATATATATAAAGATGTTGCAGTTCCTCCTTTTTGGACCACTTCGCAGCTATTTGTCAAACATCAAACAATCGAAACTTCA